CTTTTGACTCTGAAAAAGAATGGTGGGATCTGGGAGCCCTGGGGGCATTGTCTTGTGTCCCTAGAGTAGTGCTTAGAGCCCGCAGGCCTTCCGCCCTCCCGGGCCTCCCAGCCCGCGGCCGCGGCAAAAGCACGCCCAAACCTTTCCACCCAAAGACTTTTCTTGGCTTGGAAACCTATCTCCTCGGTTTCCTCGCTCGGGGCAGCCAGCCTCACCCCCGATGCCCTCTCCCATCCCCTACATTCGGGACCCTGGGGACTAAAGCTCCCCGTCTTCGCCTGAGGCAACTCCTGGGCCGACCTTCCTGAGTCCCCCTCCCGCCCTCTGGAGCTCTGCATTGTCCGTTCCCCTGACCCCCAGCCCTCTGGCCTGCTGGGTGCTAGGCTCACCGTCTAACGCGGGCTAGTCGCCCACCACCTTTCCCCAGTCAGCCGTCTCCCTGGGGCTCATCTCTCTGTCCAGGCCGCAGGGACTCGTTCATTAGAGGGTGGGAACAGGACCTCCACTGCCCCTACCTTAGGTGGCCCGACGGCTTCCTCACCGTTCCGCCCCCGCCCAGGCCCCTGGAGCCAGGAGGAATTTATCTTTGCCTGGCGCGGGTTGGGATTTGTCCGGCTCTGATGCCAACAAGGCGGCGTGCGGATAACGAAGTAAGTGTCCCCCGCCCCTGCACTCCGGACAGTCCCCAAACGCCCCGGGGCAGTCTGGGAAAAAGGCAGGAGCCCACCCTAGTTGATCGGTCCTTCTAGGCGCGTTCCTCAAGGGGCGTTCTGGCCCCGGGCCCTTGTCCCCTCTGCGCATCCAATTTCCAATCCAAGCCCCGGGCATTTATGCGGTCCGCGAAAATGTTTGTCGCCCAACTCTCCTCGGACAGTCAGCTGCGGAAATTGGCTTCAGAGTTGGTGTGGGCTTCATGTGAAAGGAACGATTCCCTCCCGCCTCCTCTCACCCCCAGCAGAGCAAGCCCCTGGCGGGGGGGTGGGGGAGAGGCAGGCCCGCGTGGGTTCCTAGGAGCCGTCGAAGGCTTTAGACGCTGGCAATTCCCTTTGAATTTTCCCTGTGCTTGCGGGAGTGGAAGGAAAACGCGGCACAACTTTCTCATGTTCTCTACGAGACAGCGCACGGCCAGGAGGGCCTCTTTGCTTGGGTGACCCGACGGACGTGAAATCCTGGGAGCCTGGCGATAGTTGCTGGGCCTTCAGAGGCCACTGAGGTCGGGCCCAGAGCCAGAACCCTACGCCCCGCACCCGGCACCCCAAGCCCGGGCAGTGGGGCCTAGGACATCCCGCACGGGCATTGGGGGAGGAAGGTTGGCCAGAGTAGAGACCCAGCACAGAGCAAAACTTGGTGTGAGACGCAAAAATCAAGAAATGTTGTCCTTAAAAGTGCAGGCCATAAAGAAAGGAGAAGAAAGGCCTGACAAGAGATAAAAAGGGAGAACGTGGAAATAAGAAAAAAAATGCATGTTTAAGCCCAGCGTATAAAGACTCGTTGATTTTTAAAATAACAAATCTCAGTGTGATTATGAAAGACAGGCGACCTTTGACTAAATAACATATGAAAAAAATTGGTTGTAGGGGAGGAAGGGGGGAAAAGGCTGAGTAGATTCCCGACAAAAACGTCAATGAGAAGCAATCTGAAGGATAAAAATGTCCCCCAGTGTGAACTTTATGCTTTGACCACTGGAGCAAACTGTCACATAATGCTCAAAAATACGTTTTGGATCAAATTATTTTGGAAAAAAGTAATTAAAGCCAATTCTTTTCTTGAGTGTGATTTTGTTTTTAAAATGTTTGGAAATAAACCACTTGAGGAATACAAAATAAAACCAAACAAAACTTTTGAATCATAATTTATTTCTTGTTTTAAAGTCGAATATCCTAGCAAAAGGTAAAAATGTTATTTAAAATTTTATTGTCAAAATTAAACATGCTGGAAATAATTGCTCACTTCAGTTGAAATAAGGTCAATACAAAAACTGTGCAGTAAAAAGCTTATGTAATTTGAAACAGAAAAGGCCTTTATTAGGGACAAAACTTAAGGGAAAAAACATAACGGGTATATATCACAAAACTTCCTAGAATTCTCCTTTTTTAAATCAAAATAAATGTGTAAAATTTCTAAACACAAATCCACAAGCATTCAAAATACATTTCCGGTAATAATTCACAGTATTTGACATTTTCTTCTATGTTAAATGCAATTTAAAATTTCTGCATTCTTTTGCCCAAAATGATGTATTTGTTCACTATCAAATATGAACAAGAGTAAACTCCAGTAAAGAGAAAATCAACGAATTTAAAAGTGTGCAAAATCTGAAAACTAGCCATAATGTACATTTAATTGCACTTAATTCTAAACTTTATTTAAATCGCCCTTCTTAGGGGTTTAATAATTTAGAATCAATAGTTCCCTTCAAAACATAATAAAATATTTACACTTTATAAAATATTAACCGATTAACAATACGGCTGTGTTGTTTATAACAGTGTAACTGAAGTCCCGTAATCATGCTGTTGACATAAGCCTGTAAGGTTAGCGAAGTGATCCTTTGCAAAATGTAAATGAAGATCTTCAGACAGTGGTGTTTATAAAATAGCTCATTAATGACTTAAGATTGAATCGCTCCAACCATTCACATCATCAGATATAATAATAGTGACGAATCAGACAGGAAAGATCCTGGCTAAACCATTTGCATTTTTTTCCAGAAGTACTGAAGTCCTAATATCACCAATTCTTCTAAGTTCCTGGACATTGATCCGGAGGAGGATTCTGCAGTTCAACACCAAGGTAAGGAAAGAAACAGCATTATTATCGTTAAGATATTAATAAGAAATGCGCCTTTCCCCATTTTGTAAATGGGCTCAAACGTGGACAGTGGTAGTAGTTGGTTTTTTGCAACCCTTCCTTCTCATTCCAACTTGATATAACAGATTAAAAAAAAAGTTTGTCGATCGAACTTACAGTTTGTTTCTTTGCAGCCCCAAACCTTTTAGCTATCACCTCGAGTTGGTTTACTTGAATCACTTTGTTCTCACAGACTTCAAGTTGTGCGTTTTCTCTAACTCTTTCATTTGGGGAGGTGGGAGAGGATGGGGTTTGTAAGGGGGGGAAAAAAAAACAGGGAAAAGGAAATGCTACCTAAAACTCCCAGGGTGGCTCCCCGAAGGTTTTCTATCCTTCTCGCTTCCTTTCCCGGCTCCGCTTCGACCGCGTCCCGGGTCGCCTAGGGCTCCTTTGGAACTTGGTGGGCGGCGCCTGGGTGCGGGGTTCTCCGGGATCCGGGTTCTGAGACTTAGGCCGGGGACAGGTTTCGCTTCTGGGACCCTTTCTCTTCCAGAGCCTCCGTCGCCTCCCAGTCCCCTGCTTTGAGGGGATGGCCTCGTGCACGCCGCCCATCGGTTAGGTGCGGCGAGTGGATGGCGGCCTAGCCGGGGGTACACTACTAGGCTGATGCGGCTTCCCACCTGGGGTGCACCAGATCAGGATTTTCATAATTGCCCCCCGAGCGCGTTTCCCAAAACTGAATTTAGTTTGGCCTTCTGGCGCCGCCGTAGAGTCAACGCTTCTTAAGGGGGACCGGCGGCTTAGGCGGCGAGATGGTGGGGAGTCTTCAGGGTCCGGAGGGGTTAGGAAGGAGAACGAGGTGTGCGAGAGGGACAAGAGGTGCCGCTAGCTGAGGGGGACTTCACTGGACTCAAGAGAGGCGTGGACGCGCCTACATTTTCCCGCCGCAGGTCGAGACCACGAATGTCAGCCCGCTCCCTAGGCGTCTCGCGGGGGCCGCGGCCCCTGCCCACGTGCTTTCTTTAAGGAGGCCCCGCGTCCCAGAGGGATCTTAGGGACAAAAGCGCGGCTAGAACCTGGCCTGCTCCGCTAGTGCCCGCGCCACCTTAAATGAGCACCGCGGCTGGAGCCGGGCTACGGGCGGCTGCAGCCGCGGCCGCGGGAGTCGGCAAAAGTTTGTGGCTCAGTTACGCCTTCGCGGGATCTGCTGGGGACGCCCCCCGCACGGCCTCCCCCGGGACTGGGTGGCCAGGTCCTCACCGCACATTTCTGCCCACGCTCGGAGTCCAGGGCCAGAGCGGCTTGGGGTCCCAGCTGTCCCAGCCACGCAACCAGAGGACAGACAGCCCTACCGCCCTCGCTGCCACC